TACTAAAATAATTTTTTATTAAAATCATGATATAATACAATTTAACACAATTACAACCCTGTACTACTTAATAACTCCAATCATGCCCTTAATCATATTAATCTTATAACATCTCCTCATAATTGGAAATTACACTGCCTAATCATATCATTTTCGTAACATTAATTAACTTTTAATTAAATTTGATTACGATCACAGAAATCTTTTCCGGCATCATCTCTGTTGCCCGGCTTCCAGTATCCTTCTCTGTTTCTCCGACGTCATCACTGTGAAAATCCAGGAGAAATCCATTTTGAAATCAAACAACATATGCAAAAATTTTAATAGTCTTAAATCAAAATATCTTCGTACAATGAGGAATTGAAACTGAAATTACCCTCTTGTTGGGGTTGGGTACTACCTTCACTCTGTTTTTCCATTTCTCGTATATACCTAGACACCAAATTACAAAACAAATTTGCACAAAACTGAACCCCCCATCCTCCATTTCCAAGCTTTTCTTACCTCACTTTCCTGCATACCCATCTTCCAAAATCAAGTTTTTCACTCAAAGATTCAAGAAATTACAGAAATGAAATTCTTTGTCATCATCTTCTTCTTCCTTCTCCATTATCTCTCGTTCAGCCCCAAGCGGAGAATCACCGGAGAACCCAGACCCAGAGGAAACCAGAGACAATTTGATGGATTCTTTGGTGGTTTCTCACAGAACCCTTCTCTAAACCAGAAAATAAAGGAAGAAGAGGAGGAGAAAGGGGGAGGAGGAGGGAGGAGAGAGAGAAGGGTAATTTGATATCCTCAAAATATGGTAATTTGATAGAAGATTCAAAGCTTGACGAAGAACCCCAACCTTGATGAATTGCAGATCTGGGTTTTAAAAGAACGAAGAGGGGAAGTAGACAAATATGGTAGAAGCCGATCCTGAAATCCCTAAATCCCCAATTTTATTCCCTAAACAATTTTAAGGGTATAAAAGTAATTTTTTATCTAATCTACTTATTTTAAGTGATTTGTCCAGGTGTGCCTCCACCTCAACATCCATCTCAGCCAAAAATGGCCACGTCAGACACAGAGGAAGGGCTAATGAACGAAACGTTAAATGTTAACGGAAATGTTAAGAGAAGGGCTGATTTGCCACTACAGGGGAATTGAGGGGCTGATTTGTGCGTGAAGTGGGTTGAGGGGGTGATTTGTGCGTGAAGTGGGTTGAGGGGGTGATTTGCCACCAGTTGTTGAGTTTAGGGGCTGATCTGCACCTTTTGCCATTTTTTTACTTTGGGCCTTAACGATAGTCAAATCCGTCTACGATGATGCTTTTGTTTTTTTCACTTAGCAGTTTGAGCAAGTCAATTCTGATCCTTGGGTTAGCATTATTGATAA